TTGTTCCTGCTTGTGAGAGTGCTAGAAGTTGCAGATCAGAATCGAGGGCTAGAAAGGCAGCCCAGAGGAGTGCTTGAAAATCAGTGCTCCGCAGGGGTTCTGTGTACACAGAGAGCAGCTCCATGATAGCCTCAGACTGTCCTCAGAGCCCCACTCAGGCAATCCCCCTGAAGTTGCGGTACTTGGCAATGTGCTGCCCCTTTGTTAATCAGGATTCTCTGGAGAAATTGAATGTGTCTACAGAGTGACAGACTGACAGACGATAGACCATAGCTAGCTAGCTAGCTAGATAAAGATCTACTGTGCAATACTGAATCATAGAGTTACGGTGGCTAAAAAGGTCTCATAATCCCTCTGCAAGCTGGAGACCCGAGAAAGGTCAAAGGTCCGAGAAGTAGGGAGTGGATGGCACAGATCACAGAGTGAGCCTGCAGGAGTACTGACTGGAGATCCAGGTCCCAGCCAAAGCCATCAGGCATAGAGGGAGCGAAATGCATCTTCTCTTCCTTCATCTTTCTGTTCTCTTCGGGCACCCTATGAATTAGACAACGCCCACTGACACTGGGAAGGGTGATCTGCTTTCCTCAGGTAATGCATTCAAATACTAAACTCTTCCAGAAAAACCTTCACAGACATGCCCAGAATCACATTTCTCCAGGTACCTGGGCATCCCAAGATCCAGACAAGTTGACACCGCAAATCAATTATCACAACCACTCTCGAGTTACTGGGAACATGTTTTATATTTTTAGTCCTCTCTTTCTTCTTTTCCTTGCTTCCTTCAAAGCTCATAGCATGTGCCATGTGTCTACAAAGTAGCAGGCATGGCACAGCCTCTGGGGTGAGCATAATGAGGTGGGGGCAGAAGGCTTCCCTGAGGAAGCGATGACTGAACTGTCACAGGAAGAGAAGTTTGTTGATCATGAAAACAACTATATAGCATTACTGACCATGAAATATTCTGTGTGCATGATTATGCATAGCCGTCACTCACAATTTAACACATTCATTCAGCTTCACTCACACGTCAGAGGAGGGCTGGCATTGGGACCTTCCTTTGAGAGGAAGGCTGGAAGGAACAAAGGGTAAGGTGTCCCACTGAGTCACACAGTAATTAGTTTATAAGGACCAAGATTTTAACATCTCTACAAATGTCTTCGTGGCACTGGGACTGCCACTGTACCAGTTACCCTTACTTCTTTAGATACTTTGAGACAGCATTCACCCATTTATTGATTTAGGATTACTGAACATTAGTACCAGAAAAATCCTACCCCTGTATCTTACACACAGGGAGCCCAAATCATGGAGTTATTTTTAAAATATGCTACAATTCAGATTCATCACTAAATCAGCCCTCTTTCCTACTCTGTCCAAGTTAAAGACTTTTTATTGCATAGAGCACAGACCAAAGTTCAAGCCTTACCCTCAACCAATCCTCAGGGTCAAATTATACAGTATGAGTGATTTGTCAGGTAAGTCTACTTCGTTCCACCAGACCAGCACTATGGAGGAGCATGAGGGACCCACTGTGGTACCACAGCAGAAGGTTCCAGAACAGAGCATCTGGTTCCATGGCTACTCCACTGGGATACAAGGGAACCAGTGTTTGTTTGGTGGATTCTTTCCTAATATAAACTTGACACCTCTATCCCAAGGGAAAATATATGTGAAAATCAAAGGAATTAGAGACAGCCTAATTTTTCTGACTGTAAGTATCGTGGAACCCTTGGGGGATTGCCTGTCTTCCTCTCAGCTCTTTTTGGATGGACCTGCCTAGCTGAACTCACCAGCCCGAGATGGAACTTAAATCAGGTCAAGGCAAGGAGGAATCACTGTCTGAAGCAGACTTTTCACTTCCCTGAATTTCAAAGGTTATATTCCTGAGGCTGAGCCTCCAAACCAAACTTGTAGGAGCTAAAAGATATTGCATAAAGTTATCTGATTTTTCACATGAGATCAACATTAGTCTAAGGATAAGTGCTCCAATTCAGGGGGCAGGGCATGCATGATCTAAATTCGAAAGTGACACACGTGGCTTCACACCTATGACCAATTGTACAGCAAAATGAACAAATGACAGTCATTTAAAGGAAGAAAAAAATCATTAAAAATTAATGAATGAGAAAAAGGGAAGAAAAGAAAATAAGTAATTGTTGAGGTATCTACCATATTCCAATAAAATAGTTACCATTCTCATTTTTGGCTGAAGAAATAGAGATTCAGAGGACAGAGAGATGGCAGAGTAAGGGCACCCAGCACTTAGTAAAGAAGAACCAAAGCAAATATGCAGCTGTGTAGCTGCATATTGAGGTGAGTGACGGGGGAACATTGGAAATCAACAAGAGAAAAAATGGAAACCTTTAAGACCTAAAGAACTGGGACAACAGCATAGTAAGAGAAACAAAATATCCCCGCAGCTGTGGACCATGGCTGGGGGAGGAAAAGTCTCCTTCCTGGAGGGGTGATGGTGAGAAAGTCCCAGCAACTTCTGTCAACATGGTGACTGGCAATGGCAGCCCCTGGGGAGTTTCACAGTCCTTCCAGGCTTGCAGCCTAAGTAGGTCCTCAGGTCACGTGTACACGGAGAACAGCTCCAGGACAGCCACAGACCCTCACAGGCCCACCCAGCCAAGCCCCCTAACATGCCTGAGGTCTGCACTTTGGAAAAGGAATTCACATCATTTCCTAGCAAACTCCCAGGCTGCTGTGCCAAGGAGCTGTCTTGAGAAGAACCTACTGTCTGCAGTTGGATTGCTCTGGGGTCAGAACCCTTCCCACTCTGGGACACACAGACTTTCCACTGAGTAGACATAGATGGCAGGTGCCTCACAAACCAAATGTGGCTCAGTGGGGAGCCTCTGACACAAACCCACAGAGACTGCAGGGACTTGATCCTGAGACACAGACAGGGAGATGGTGTGCCATCTCCAAAAGAGAGTGACCTAGCAGCTTGCTCTCTGAGAGCAGGAGCACACGGCTTCATGATAGTGCCAGGACTAAAGGAAGTCACTCAAGTCATTCCCAACACCCTGCCACCCCCAACCCCCCGGCATCGCCCATAGGCACCTGTCACAAGACAAAGAAAGGACTCAAGGCTGTACCACTCCCAGCCCACAGGGGCTTACTGGAGCAGTCCTGAGCAATATCCTGGTTCTGGCTTTCTCCCCTTCCTCAAGGCTCATAGCCTAAGAAAGGCCAGAGAAAAGCGTTTCCCACCACCAGCCACTTTGTGTTCTCCTGCCTATGA